CGTGCGCCAGTCACTGCAGGCGTGTGCCTGGGCCACCGGCCTCTGGGGCGCTTCACTTTCCCAAAAGTCAGATTCACTTGTTCGGTTTTATACATGAATGTGTTTTAGGCAACGAACAGTTTTCATCTTTCACCTGAATTGTGTGCCGACGTGCGTTTTCAGTTTTTAAATAGCGGCAGGAAGAAACCGCGACCGTGCCGGCATATTCCAGCAGCAACTCTCGGGCCTGCGGGCACAGCGGCTCAGCCGCCTGGGCCGGGGCCGGGCAGCGCGCGGCATTGGCAGGACGGGTGGAGACGGGAGGCTCTGGGCTGGCGCTGGGCCCGGGGGGGGGCCGCTTTTGCGGGTACAGCAGGCACCCACACCCGGTCAGGGACAGCCCGCCCCTTCCTGGGCCCGCTGTCCTGCTGCGCTGTTGCCCGGCCACCACTGGCCGCACCACAGAGGTGCTGCTCAGACGGGATCGCCACAGGTGACCGCCGCGGGGGGGAAGCGGCGTCGCAACCCAGAGGTCAGTCCACAGGGCAGAGGGCGGCACCGCGCCTTGCGCTGCCCCGGCAGGCCGCCTCTGGAGGACTCCGAGGGCGCCCGCGGGCCCGGGAAACGGGCACAGCCCTGGCGGGGCTGGCAGCACCCTGGGGGCGGCTGGCGTGGCAGGCCCCGGCCGGTGTGCACCGAGGAGAGGCGCCCAGAAAGCCAGGGGGCTGCGAGCGCGCCATGCCCGCTGGTGGAGGGACGTTCGGGCAGGACGGGGCTGGGGCGGTGAGGGGCCGTCCGGTCACCGCGTTCCACCCCAGTGTGAGTGGCCACCACGAGGGCCGGGCACCACGCACTGAGGGTCTTGAGACCGCGCCAGCCCGTGGGGCACAGACGGCAAGGGGTGGCCGAGCCGGCCCACGGGCCGCGTTGCCAGGGCGCAGGAGCCTGACGGCTGCCAGGTCTGAGCCTGGCTCCCGGAGGTGGGGCGCCCCTCACCCTGCAGTTCGCGTCCCAACCTGCAGCGGGTTCCACCAGCCTTGTGAGGGCGACAGAGCAGAGAAACTGCGGTTCCGGCACCCCAGCCGGAGGACCCCGAGCTCCCCAGAAGGGGACGCCCGCTAACTCCCGGCTTCTGGGCCAGACAAAATGAAGCCTTGCAGGGGGCCGCTGAGAAGTGGGGAGGCCCCTGCAGACAGCCCCCCAGCCCCCAGGCTGCGCCCCGATGCCGGGCGGCTGCGCGCTCATGCTCGCAGCTCTGGCGCCCGCGGGCAGCGGAGGGCTCCCACAGCGGCAGGTGGCCGGCGCCTTTACCACAAAGGACAGCCGGGCCGGCGGGCTGGAACGCTCTGGAAACGGGCTCCGGCGGGGGCCAGAAGCTGCCTGTCCTCCCCACCCTGACCTGATTTGGTTTTTCTCTTGTATCCAGTGGCTCTGACAAGAAGCCGACTTACTGCGGCCCCCAGACGCTGCTGCAAATAGGATGCGCGTCTCTCAGGCTTTGACTCACCCGGCTGCGCAGCGCTGGCTCGCCGTCCCACGCCAGTGCGTGCACTCAGGCGGCTCCCGACGGGCTTTCACGCTGCATGTGACTCGCTCTCACGTTCACTGAGCAAGACACTGCTGTGCGGGCTGAGTTTTGGGGGGCCGAGGCCGGGGGTCTGAGCCTCGGGGGGCTGTGCCTAGGGGGCTGATCCTTGGGGGGGGCTGAGCCCTGGGGCGCTGAGCCTTAGGGGGCTGCGCTGGGACTCGGCGCCTGCCCAGAAGAGGGGTTCAGGGAGCGGATACATGATTCAGCCGGGTGAGGCGAAGCGCTCTGCGGCCTCGGGCCTTCGTTACAAATAAACTGGGAGAACCCAGTTGCTCACGACCACTCTTCTCTCAGACTCACAGAACTGTCATTTTGCTTCCCACCCGGCAGCGTTTAAACGATAAGAGACCGTCTCGCACCACACACGCCAGCAGCTCGGAACAATGCAGCCCACAGCTCGCTCACTGTCTTCCTCTCGGCGTCACAGGCTGTTCGTGCGGCTGTACCCCCCGTTCCCTGGATACAGGAAGCGCCTCGCTGCGGATTGTGTGGGTCACTCCAGTCACACGTGCCACTGCAATTCACGGGACACGCGGCCAGTGCTGAGCGCGCCCTATTTATAGAAAGGCTGCATTTGCTGGCGTGTGCTGTCCCGACTGACCAGCCACGAGATACCCCATGTCCTGAGGACGTGCGCGGAAGACCAGTGATGCCACCGTCACACAGTGCAAAGCGCGACAGCTTCACGCAGCTCAGAGTCAGCGGGGGGAGGGGGCGGAGGGCAGGGAGCGGGCCGGGGGCAAGCCCAGGGCCACGAGAAACGTGCAACACCCCCGGGTGGGCCGGGAGCTGGCTTCTGCACCCCAGCCCAGAAAGGCCGGGCCTGCCTCATCGGGGAAGCGGCCCCATCTCACAGCGGGGCGGCAGGAGCGGGCGGCCGGCGCCCCCAGAGGCCACCACACCTGCAGTGGCCCCGAGCGCGGCCTCCCTGCACTGGGCGCCGCGCGTGGCCTGGCCTCGGAGCTCGGCCCGCAGGAGCGCACAGTCGTCCCGAGGGGGCTGCCCTGGAAACCTGCACTCCTATCTGGGGTGACCTATTAAACCGGCTCCCCGTCTCAGGCCCCAGCCAGACCGCAGGCAAGTCAGGACAGCCGCGCCCGCCCGGCGGCGCCCCCTGGTGGCTGCGCCTGGCTTGGCAGGCGGGGGCCTGTCCCGCGCCGCTCCCACCCAGCCCTCGCGGGCCTGGGGCAGCCTCAGGGCAGGTACCACCTCGCTCAGCTCTCAACTCCGAGCAGCAGTGTCTCCTGACCGACAGACTACGCCCCAAGTAAGTCTGCTGACGAGCGCTGCAGCGGATCGGGAGTTTCGTTCACAGCTTCTGGCCGGCCCAGCGTCGGGAGTTAGACTGCGCGTTCACTGGCCGCACACGACGTCTCCCTTCCCCGGAGGCAAAAGCAGCCCGCAACGTGTGTGGGGGCGGCTGCGCTGGATGCCGACAGGGCACTGGGCATGTTACCCTGCCACTCTTCCCGCAGGGCGCGAGCGTCACAGGAGCAGACGGGCCTGCTTGCCAGGCAACGATGAATCACTGTCTCCGAGCGGCTTCCGCTCCCGCGCTGCCGCGCCACAGACATTCCGCCACACGTCCTCCGAGGCCCCGCAGGACAAACGGCATCTGCCCCCGCCCCGTCCTTCCGCAAGGCGTTTCACCTTTCCTGCTGTGCCAAACATGCCTTTTGGAAGGCAGCGCTGCAGAGGGCGATGGGTCACGGAGGTGGATACCGGCCGTGAGTCCAGACTGGCGCACGCCAGGTCCCCCAGCCGCCAGCCCTGCGGCCGCTCGCCCGGGCTTCTGCGGGCCTCACCGCTCAGCGCGGCCGCGGCCACCGCCGCCTCTTCTCCGCGCGCCCTCCCCCTCCAGAGAACCAAGGCAATTAAGCAAAGAATAATCTAATTATCCGGCTCTATAAAAAGAAGTGACATTCACTTCACTCTGGAACTCTGGCGGCACAGGCGGACCCAGGGCAGAGCCGCTCGCGAGGCAGGCTGCTCTCTGCTGAAAGTGGGCCAGGTAACCAGCGCCCGCAGAGGCAGCAACGACCGCTGGCCTGCGGTGAGCTAGAAGGCGCTGTGCGCGTCCCCGCCGCGGCCCAGGAAGCCCAGGCGAGGCCCGGGGCGGCTGGCTGGCCGGCGCCTCCTGGAACCGCTTCCCCCAGTGACGGCCCCTGCGCTCCCGATGAGGCCCAGTGCCAGGGTGCCCGACCGGCAGCCAGCCTGGCGCCGCTCCCTCAGACGCCCCGGGCCTGTCCGACTCGCCCCGAGCGCCGCATGGGGACGGCTTCCCTGCCACTCGGGCCCTCCAGACCTGGACAGAGGGGAACCCAGTTCTTGACGCCTTCTGTGCTCATCTGCTGCACAGCGGACACCCGTTCTCCGCGCCGCTGACTGGAAAGGCCGGATCAAGCAACCCAGTCCACTGCTGCCATCTGCTCAGGGCGCCTGACTGCCCCCCAGCAACCACCCCCGCCCGCATTCGCAGGGGCCAGTGCGGCCACCTGCAGCCCCACCCGCCCCCCCCCCCAGCACCCAGCCAGAGGAAGCCGCTTACCTGGCACTCGGCGTCCCCTGCCGGCGCGCCCGGTGCCGCCGCCCTTGCTGCCGCGTGGTACGTGATCTCTGCCGTGGCCACGAGGAGTCCGTCGCAGTGGACATGGACGGCCACCGGGCCGGCGGGGAAATCTTGGAAAACACAAGCGAGAGGCGGAGGCTGAGCAGCGACGGCAGCAACTTCCCCAGCCCCCGCGACCCCGAGGGCGGGTCCCAGCGCTCACGAGGGGCACCGGCCTCGGGCACTGTCTTTCTCGGCTTCGCGTTGAAGCCACATCAGAGTGTACTGCACGGGTTCAGGCGTCGGGACACGCCTCGCGATCGGGAACGTACGCTACCATTGCAAGCTGAGCGCGGGGCCTGTCTCCCCACCTACTGATCTCCGTTTTGTGGGAGAACCTGACGTCACCGTTACACAACGCTTCAGCATTTCCACACCTGCAGTCACGCAGAAGGCGGGTGTGCGCCGCTGCTCTCTGCTCTCGGGAGGAACCTCCCCACTGACTGGAGGCAAACTGCTCCAGACTGTGGGGAAAGCGTCGACCCAAGTCACAGGCCTTTGAGTCGGCTCATTACCAGGAGCAAACGCTGGGCAGGCCGAGGCCTTTCGCCACCCTCCCGGGCCTCCGGCGCCCTCCCGTGAAGAGGCCACCCCGCGCGAGACTGGCGGAGCTACGGCCCCGGGAAGCGGCCGGCCAGGACGCGACAGGCAGGCCACCGCGTGTTCTTGTCTCAGAAGCAGAGAAGCCTCGCTCTTACGGCTGCCGACACCGCCACGTTTTGTCACGGAGCGAGCTCTAGATCCTGGAAAACTCCTACCCAAACGCCTGGGCTTCAATAAACCGCCAAGTCGAAGCCCGAAAGCCAGGTCCGACCCACCCACGGAGATCTGACACTCGAGAGTTCTCAGGAGTTGAAAGTGGATTTCACGTTATCTCATGAATTCAAGCGTCGCTTACCTTACTGAGGGAAATGTAAAGGCAACAAGAGCAAGCTTAAGCCTCACTGGGTCAAGAAGATTTTGTCCTGGACCGTGTGAGTAGAAACCTAAGCAGTGCAGCCGAGAAAAGAAGGCGCAGAAAGTTCCAGCTTGCCGAGGTGGGCCCCACCCAGGGAGTCGGTCCGGGGAGGTACGGAAAAGACAACACCGAAGACGAAACCCCGCTGCCTAAAGCGGGGTTCACGCGGAAAGGGGTTGCGGCGCCGGAGAAGCCCGCCCCCCAGGACGGAGCCGCGCTGGCGCTGCGTCCCGGTTCTGGTGGGCACCAGAGAGCCCAGCGGCCTTCTGCCAGGGCGCCGGGCACACGGGGGCCGCTGGGCCGCGGTGCTGGCCGAGGGACAGCAGCCCACCGCGGAGCCTAGTGAGGGAGCGCGGACAGCCGAGTCGGCTGCTCGGAGGGTGGCGCCACTGCTGAGGAG